TTCTTCAATTACATTTGCAAGCTAGAAAACAAGCCCCACCCACCACCCAGGCCTACAACACAAAACAACAATGGACACACAGCCAGAACCAATCAGCACCAATATACCAATCATGATACAGCCACACACCCACTCAATCCCCCTCCTGAACCAAAGCCAGCACTCCACACACCCCCACCAAGATTTATAGAAAGACGGCAGCTCCGCTCACGTTTTAAGCCCAAAACACCAGCCTGAAAAAGGCGAGTGAGACCTCGCCAAAACGTTGCCAAGACAATCTCAATATCTTACACGGGAAAAGACCCGAATACAACAGGACCAGTAGATAGATAGATAGATAGATAGATAGATAGATAGATAGATAGATAGATAGATATAGATATATAGATATAGATATAGATATAGTGTCACAACCCCTGGTATGCCCCAATTATGGGAGGAAGCGAATTGCTTCCATTCTCTGTCCATCGGCTCGTCACAAGAGACCATCCAGACAGAAATATATGCATCAAATGGAAATATTGTCTAAAGAATAAAGTAATTCTATTATACTTTTGAACCATAAAGTGAGCAAGAGAAGGCAACAAAATAGTAAGTCCAAAACAGTTTCTCCTGAAAGTTACTAAGCATATAAAAGCACTCTATAAAGTTATTTACATCAAGCATTAAACAACCAACTTCCCCTCAAAATGTTTTTTTTAAATTGACTGGGAATGACATGATTTAATTCTTTAATTCATAGGGTGACTCTGGGTAGCTTACAATGTTAAAAGAATACAATTATATAAAGCATGTATATAATATGAATAAAATATTATAAAAATAGATTATCAAATCTAAGTAAAAGATGGGACAGAAGGAAGAGGATGAGCAGGGAGAGGTGGGATCTGTCATTAAGCTATCAATCACCTCTATTGTGAAGCTCCCCCACTAGAACCCCAAGCCAACTGGCAGAGCGAGTTCTTCAGGCTCTTGCAGAAGGTCAGGAAGGTTCGAGCCACCCTCACTCCTGGGGACAAGATGTCCCAAAGGGCAGGAGTGACTGCAGAGAAGGCAGCCGGAATACCCTGGTCAATGAGGCCATCAGCATGGCTCCTCTGCTGGCACAGGTGGGGCGGGCCAATCCCACTGGGATGAGACATTCCCTCAAGTAATCTGGACCCATGCCATAATGTTTTGCAATTAATTTGGACAAATTCAAGTTTATCTGATACCTAGCAAAATCCAGCTGCTGGATAGTACACAGTTGTTGGCTCCATTCCTAAATTTATAGTCTGAGTCATGAATTAGGCACCTCATACTTTTAACATAAGCAATTTATTATAACCACATTTTTAAAATGATGCAAGCACACACAAAGCTTAGGATGTTAACCTTCAACACAACTCCTGAGAAGGGCGTCTACCTTGCCCACTCAATTCTTTCAGAAACATACAAAGACTAGGAGGAGGCAAGATTAAGAGAAAGCTAATTAATGACATCATCAAATGATATCCTTAGGAGGAGGAATCACTATTTTACTGAAAATTATAAATACAGGTTTTCAAACAATGAAAGAAATCCTACAAAGGATGGGGGGGATTAAGAATAATATTAGCCCTTTCTTAGCTAGTCTTGAAAGTGGTTATTATGAAGAGTTGTTTCTATTTTAAAAGCAACCTTACTGTGTCAGTGTCATTTGTGGATGTTCTGAAAGCATTCCTCCCCTGCTGATAGGTGTAAATATACTAGCATATTTAGCTATTCTTCTATAGCCGTGATGGTGAACCTGTGGCCCGCGTGCCTGAAGTAGCACACCGAGCCATGTAGCCTGGCATACGCGGCAGCACCCATTCCTCTTCTGGGTTTTTGACGCACATGCGCATGCGACAATCAGTTGGCCTTCATGCATGCGGCAGTGCTGGAAGCCAGTAGAGCTGGTCTTCTGTTTTCCAGCGCACTGGCCAGCTGATTGTCACGACACATGTGTGCCACTAACCGGAAGACTGGCTGGTGCGCCGGAAACTGGAAGTTCATTTTCTCGTGCACGCATGTCCCCTGGGCAGCTCCAATTCCTGGATGGGGCACTGACAAGCCCACACGTGCATGCTCCCTTTTCAGCACTCAGTGCTGAAAAGATTCGCCATCACTGTTCTATAGAATCTACACCTTGGTCCCATACAACTCTCAGGGGAATGTTGACTGTTTCTGAATTAGTACAGTTTCTTCCTTTATCACAATCTGGTCCTGGAAATGTTACTATGAAAAGCAATTGCCCACAATACAAGGCTCCCTTGGCTGTACAAAATTATAGCTCCATGTCTCCTTGAAACACAGTCCATGAGTTTTCAAATGTGCAGCTTACATCATAAATGGTGTATGCTTCCAATGAAAAATACACTGTGTATATCACAACAGGTAATCCTCACATAACGACCATCACTTAACTGCCATTTGAAGTTATAGACCTTCCCCACGAAGGTACTTATGATTGTTTCAAAGTTATAGTTGCTGCAGAACCCCCAAGATCATTTGCCCTTATGACTAACTGCAGGAGCCTGCAGCAGTTGCCCCCACCTCTGTTCCCCCATTCAGCCTTGGGCCTGCTTCTCACCCACTGTTTATCCATCGCATGCTTACCTTTTGAAAATCTCCAGACCTTATTTTGGGAAAGGGGAGTAGGCCCTTCATCTCTGAGCTGCAGCTGCATTTTCAATGTGTCTACAATTCCTCGTGGTTACACCAAAATGGCAGCCATTTCTGGGAGGGCACCATGTAGACAAATTGCTCTATTTTGCTTCCTTAACCTCCGGAGCTCCAGAGAGCTTTAAAAGCGAAGTGTGCAATGGGTGCCCAGGGCAGGGGAAAGGGTTGGGAGGAAGCACAAAGCCTACTGGAATCCAGTGTGGGAGAAAAGACCTGTGGGGACCCATTTGAAGGTTAAAGTAGGCCTAAGGGCTGTGGGGACCCAATGGATGAGAACGGAGCATGTGAGCAAGGGGATAGAGTATGCCCATGGTAGGTGGACCCTGCGCCTCCTAAGACCTCCCCCACC